CCTGCGAGCATGGGATCTCCTACCACTGGGAGACTCCCCACCATCACCAGCTCCTCCAAGGGCTGAACTGAAGCCCCTGGATTGGGACAGCTTCTGGAAATGCCAGCTTCTCTTCCCTGAAGACCTGGCTCGGATCTACAGCCTCATGGTGAAGGGGGTAGCCGCAGAGGACTGACCCTGCCTTGGCTGCCACCGCAATGGCACCTCCGGTCCCTCCTTCACCCTTTCCTCACAGGGATGCACTGTTGAGCTGCTCCAGGCCACGGCCACGTCCACCGCTGGTCCGTGCAGGGGATGAGCAGCTGGAGGAAGCTCCTAGATATATACACACAGGCACACACACACACCCTACTCCTCTGCCGCCGGTATCGCAGCCCAGCCGGTCCTTGGCGTTAGGGCAATCCGGGACCTGCCTGTTCTGAGACACAGAGAGAGGAGGCGTGGGGTGAGCACAGCTCTTTGTGCCCAGCAGAGCCCCAGGGGAGGGATGCCAGCCATGGGCTGGCCCTTATCCCCAAGCACTGATGGCCATAATCCCACGGGCTGCTGAGGCTCAGGCTTGTGCCTGTCTCCAGGTGCTGTGGGGAAGGTGGGGGGGATGCAGCAGGGACCAACCCCGCAGAAGAATCATCCCCTGGGCTGATGGGAGGTGGGCGCTGAAGGGAAATGGCCACCGCCTAGCAAGCTGTCCCATCCCTCCCCAGAGTGTTCAGCCAACCCCCCAAGGGTCTCGGGACGAAGGACTAGGGCATTCCTCTCAGTCCAAGCCTTACCCAAGTCCTTGGGGACTGGTTTCACCCCGGCCACTGCCTGGGCATTCTGGCTGCGAGCCATGGCACAGGGCGGGCGCCAGGCGTACTCGGGCTGCAGGAGAGGGAGCAGAAACAGAGTTATCAGAGATGTGAATCATAAGGCTGTGCTCCAGGTTGGATTGTCAGGCTGTCAGGAGGAGGAGGAGAAGGGCTGAACATCTTTGTGCCAACAGGACACAAGCTCAGCTCCCTGCTTGGTGCCTTGGTTGCCCTGGAAGGGCCAATTTCCACCTGGCAGCAAACCCCAGACCTGCTGCCATGGGACCCTCTGCTCCCCCTCCTGCTGGGATGGGTAGACACTCACTGGGGGAAAATGGTGGAAGTTCTGTCCTGCCGTGTGCTCGCCCGGCATTGCTGGTGGGTATCGGATCTGCTGCCACTCGTCAAAGCCGTGGTACATGGGGTGAGCCATGGGGGGACTGTACTGGTACTGGTACGGGGGGCAGGCAGGACCCAGCGGCCCTGGCAGTGGCTCAGGGTGCAGCCTCTCTCCGGAAGCCTGTGAGAAGCCAGAGGAGATGCTGCAGAGAGCTCTTGAGGGCAGCCCACACTCCAGCTTGGAGCTGTCCCTCCAACAGGAGGTGAGGGCCAGGCCTACAGCCTCCAGCCCCTCCACCCAGGAAGTTTTTTCCCTCATCCCTACCTGTTTGTGCTGTTTCAGCAGCTTTTTCAGCTTCTCCTTCTCTTCTTTCTCCCTCTGGCAGTCATCCTTGGACGCTCGCAGCTGGGAGCAAGAGGGAGATTAGTACTGAGCCCACTCTGCTACCCTCTGTGTCTGTGGGGCATGGGATGCTGCTGTGCCCTGAGAGAATGCCTGCACCAGTCCCACTCCCACCAGACCCCCAGGAGAGGAGAAAGAGATGAGTGGAAGGAGATGCTTTGGCAGGGACAAGTGGCAGCAAAACCACCGCTCCAGCCCTTCTGTCCCCACTCAGCCCCTGCTCTGAGATGGGTATGGGGTTGTGATGCTGGGGACAAGCACACTTCTGACACACCCAGGGACACACATGGGGATCTTGGGGGCACCCAGCGCTACTCACCTGGTTGTTGGAGAGGACCAGCTGCTTCTGCAGCTTCTCCAGCTGCTGCTTCAGCTCTTCCTTCTCCTCGTTCATCCTCTCCCTATCACTCCGCTCCCGCTGGAAGTCCTCCTCGAAAATTTTGACCTGGCAGGAGGTTGGGGTGTAGGTACACTTGGCTGAGGGTGGACACCTCCCTCAAACACCCTGTCATTGCATTGCCATCCCTGACCACACCAGCTGTGCCAAGCCCCAGCCATGTGGCCTGGCACAGTGTCCCAGGGCTGTGGTCCCTACAGCTGAAGGCCAGGAAGATGCCAAGTTGGGTCCCATCCTCCCCACCACCAGGACACAGACATGGCTCGGGTTGCTGGGCTGCTCCCAGTCACACCAGGCTCTTTGCCAGGGAGGTCCAGGCTAAGTAGCTCCCTCCCTGCCTCCAGCAGCTCTGTGTCCTGCCTTACCTGCTGCTTGAGGAGCTCGTTCTGGGTCAGCAGCTCCTGCTGTGGCAGCTTCCCAGCTGGCTCCATGGTGCTGGCAAAGACAGGTGGTGGGGAGGCCTGGACATTCAGGGCCTCCTCTAGTGCCTGGAGAGGAAGAGGAGCAGAGAGGGTGGGTCAGAGGAAGGTGCTATGCCCATAACATCTCCAGAGGGCCATAGGCACACATATCCAGCGTGGGAAGCAGGTACAACTGGGCAAGAGGAAGAGGGACTACAGACCCCCCACCACCCTTTCCTAGGAGCCTAAGGAGATGTGGTGGGCATCATCCAACACAAGCTCCTGCCTGGGCAAGAAGCTGGGAAGGACGGGGGTGATGAGAGTCAGTTTTGGATTTGAGAGAGAACAGAGAGGACATTTTGCAGGGAGGGGTTTTGCTCTGGCTCCCACCTTGTTCAGCCTCTGGATCTCTTTCTCCTGGTATTCCCGCTGCCTGGTGACCGGAGCCAGCTGCTCCTGCAGGAACCGCATCCTCTGCTGCAGGTCCCTCACCTCCATGGCCAGCCTCTCCTTCTCTGCCTGCAGAACCCAGGGGATGGAGATCAGCCAGGGCAGGGTGATGGTGCCAGCAGCTCCCTGCCACCCTTACCCAAGGACCCACCTCCTCTGTTTCAATCCGGGACTTGGCCAGGAGCAGCTTGCGGTCGAAATCCCGTTGCTTTTGCTCCCGCTCTGACTCCAGCTCAGTCAGTGTCCTGCGGGCCTCGGCCAGCTCCTGGTGCAGGTCTGTGACCTGCCAGGAGGGAGCAGAGATGTTGGCCTGTGCAGAGGGACCCACAACAGGGGGAAAAAAGGCACAGGCAGCCCCAAAACCTTTTCCCACAGCCGGTCTCCTCCAAGTCTCCCAGCCAACACCCAGCAGAGTAATGCCCCTAAGGCACCCAGTTCTGGGCACCCAGCCTTACCTTCTGCTCATACTTCTGCTTCGTGGCTCGGAAGTGCTGATCCCACTGCTTATTCACCTCCAGCAGCTGCAGGGAGAGAGGGATGGCTGAACAGAAGCCCAATGTCTGCCCCAAGCTAGCCATGGTGGTTCCCAGCCACCTCCTATCACAAAAGCACCTCGGGGACCCACTGGATGGAGATCCCAGCTCCAGCAGCACTTCCCTGTGGCTCCATAGCCCTGGCCCCGTCACCCTGTGCCCTCCCAGTCACATGCCCCTGCTGCCCTCTCCCACCCTGCTCCTGGCAGTGCCTCCCTCCCAGCCCCATCCTCACCTCCCTGCGCTGGTGCTCCAGGATCTTCACCTTCTTCTCCTTGGCCTCCAGCTCTCCTCTGCCAGGCGCCTTCTCCACTGCAGCCCCGTTCTGCTGGACGCGCACGGGGTGGAGGCTGTGTCCGAGGCTGGCTGAACACGAGCCAGTTTCCCTCCCAGGGCCTCCCCCATCCCCTTGGGACCCTGAGAATTCCTGCCAGTCATACTGGGACAAACTGGGGGCTTGACTGAAATGAGGCCACATTTGCTGATGTGCCAGCGGGCTCCCTGCCTCCTTCCCAGCCCACTCTGAGGGTGATGCTGTTCTCTCACCTGCTGCTGCTCGGCAGCTTCCCTCTTCCCACTGTCCTGGCTGCTCAGTGTCACCATCCTCCGGAGCTCCTGGTTCTCACACCTGTGGGCAGATGAGTTGGGTCAGCAAGAAGAAGCCCGCAGGACAGCCACATCCCCCTCCCCACCACCCACCCTCACCTGAGCTTCTCCAGTGCCTGGTTTCTCTGCTCCAAGTCCCGCTCCAGCTTGGTTCGCAGCTCCTTGTTCTCACTGTGCAGCGTCTCACACAGCGTCTGGGGGGTGAACAACAGCAGCATGAGCACCAGGGCCAGCCCCTCCAGCCTCCCTGCCCACCCATCTCGCAGCAAACCCTGCCACTAAGGTGGGTGTCCACATCAGGGTAGACAGGAAGGACTTGGAGGAAAAAAAAAAAAAAGAGGAGAGAGGGGGGGTTAGAAACCCCCAAGGAGAAGTCTGAGCATCCCTTGCTCACCTGCAGGAACGATGTTCTCTGCTCATTCTTGTGCACTTTGGAGGCCAGGCGCTTGAGCTCGGAGGCCATGTAGCCCATGCGCACAAAAACCTGGTCCTTGCTGGCCTCCTTGGCACAGCCACTCAGCGTGTTCTCCAGCTGCTGCAGCTGGGGCAGCAGGTTAGAATCCTCCTTCTGTGGCTGCTCCAAGTCCTGGCCATGGGGAGGGGATGAAGTGCAGTTAGATGGTTTCAAGGAGCTTTTCAAAGTTCCCTCTCGGGGCAGGTCAGCCTTGTCCCCCAGCCAGGGCTGTGGCCAGGAGCTGGGCCAGCACTGAGAGACTCTTCAACAGCTCGTTAGGCTGAAAAATTGCATTGGCTTTATATAGTTCTTGATTCTCAGCAGCTGGACATGGAACCACCAAGTCCCCAGGTGGAGGGGGACATTATGGGAGCTGCCCCAGCCCATAGATTCCCCATGCTCCTCAGCAGTCTGAGCAGACCACACTCCCAGCTTCCTGACAGCAATGGAGGCATCTCCACCTCTAATCCCTTCTCCCCACTGAGTTCTCCACACTGGCAGCAGGAACAGAAATCCCAGCTCCTGAGGCTGTCCTTTCCACATGCACCCCAGTCTGCACAGGGAGTCAAGGCTTGCCATGCAGGGGGTGGTCTTACCCCAGTCCCCATCTCCTCCTTCCTCCTGTCCCCCAGCACGGCTCTGTGCCTCCCTGACACGCCAGGCACCAGCGACCTGGGCTGTTGGGCAGGTGGCAACCAGGAGGGTGACACACAGCATGGGATTTAAACGCTGGCTGGGAGAGCCCGGGTCATGGCGCACCCACAGCACACCCTCACCCACGCACCAGGGGTGTCCCCAGTGGGCTGGCCCACCCCTGGTGTGGCTGGTTAACTCCTCTATTGCCTCGCAGACACTGCCAGCACAACACAGCCCAGCACGGGGTGGAGGTGGGGACACGCTGGCACACCTTTGCTCGCTCTGCTCCTAGCCCAGCTGACTCATCTAGCCACCCCTGGGAATGCCCCAGGCAGCACTGCAGGGAACCAGGTGCCCAGCGTGTCCCCTGCACCCTGGCCCTGGGGTTTACAGCCCTGCAACTGCCATGGGAGGGTGTGTGTGGGGCACAGTACAATCAGTTCCTCCCATCAAGGGGAGGCAGTGAGGATCTGAGCCCAGCTGGAGCGCCTGGGAGAGCTAGGATGCAAGGACAGGACCAGCACTTGGCATCTGATCACCAAGCAGATGCCACCCCATTCTCCATCACCCCACAGCTGCACTCCAGCAGGGTCCAACAAGACTCAACCCCTCCTGGTG